TCTCTGGAAGAGGAGGTAGCGCCGATGCAATCGTCAATGTAGCGGCCGTAGAGTTCAGGTTTGGGGCCGTGGTGTTGACTAAATATTGGCGTTCGATAAAATCTACGAAAAGATTGGCCTACCTGGATCAATATTTTAGTACCCATGGCTACGCCATTAGTTTGATTGTGGTAGTTGCCACAGAATGAAAAGCAATTGAATGCAAGCACTAGTTCGGCTAGACGGAGAAGTGCTTCAGAACTAGGTTCCTTAACAGTGCGTTGATCGGAAAAATGTTTGAGGGCTCGGAGACCTTCGTCATTGGGAATGACAGTAAAGATATGTAGCATCCACGGTGAAAATAAGTTTCTTTTGGCCAAGGAAATTAAAGTCACGAAAAATTTCAAGTGCGCGTTGGCTGTCCTTCAAGTATGATGGTAAAATTTTGACGATAGGTGCTATAATTTTGTCTAAATAGCTGGAAATGAGTGCGGCGAGACAACTGCTGGCAGAAATGATGGGTCGGCCAAAGTTGTTAGGTTTGTGGATTTTAGGTAAAAAGTAAATACACAAAGTTCTAGAGTGGTGATGGCAAGAGTTTTTGCAGTGACCGGCAATTCTTGTTTAGCTATAAGATCGTTAGTCGTTTTTTTGAGAACGTTTTGGTTGATGAAATTGAGATCTTTGTCAACTTTAGCATAAAGAGAGGTATCAGAAAGTTGCCGCAAAGCTTGTCTTTGGTAGAGGTGGGCCCCCCAAACAGCGACTGCGCCTCATTGGTTGGCCGCTTTAATAACTATGTCTGTGATTTTTTAGACTTTTTAGTGCCGACCACTCTTCCGAAGAAAAGTGGAAAATTTGGTGTTACGATTGAATTTAAGTTTGTAAATATCGTGAGGACATTTTTTTATGAAAAAAATCTAAAGATGCGAATTTGCCCTCTGGGGGAGTCCATTTAGACTTTCGAATTTGAAGTGTTTCGAAAGTATCTTTGTTGGAGGAGTCAGAATCATTCTCTTTGTCGTGAAAAAAGGCTTTCAATTTTTTATCAATTTTGGGACAAAGAAAACAATAAATTCGCCACGCGTTCATAAAAATGCTCAGAACAAACTTTTGTTTCCCAACGAACATAAACATGCTGCTGTACTCTTAAAAAGCTCGCCAAAATAGACCAATCGAACCTCTGTTAGATTGTTTCAAATAATATGATTGGATAAGACTAAAGCAATCAAAATGTGAAACCATCAAAGATCACAAACTGAAATAGTTCACAAACTGAAATATTTTACATACTGAAATAGTTTACATACTTAAAATGTTCCGCAAGTCAGCAGGTTTGATTTGTTTTTGAAGAAAAAACCTATTCATATTTATTATATGAGTGTTAAAAGTGTTTCAACTCT